TCTTTTGATTTCGCTTCGAATCCTTTCCTGAGTTCATGTGAGGCCGAGGTTCTTGCTTTGACCTCAGGCTCAAGCGAGGCTTTGCTGCTGAAAGAAGTCTGGCAGTTTATGACAGGCCAGAAAGTCATCCTTGAGGCCAGGAGTGATTCTTCAAGTGGACGACAATGGCTTCAACGGTCGGGACTGGGGAGGCTCAAACACATTGACGTGAGACTATGTTGGTTGCAAGAGGCCATCAGAAATCAGGTCCTCAGAGCTTTACCCATTTCGACCCAAGTGAATATCGCAGATCTCAATACCAAGAAGCTGACAGCAGCGAGACGAAAATTTTGTTGAGTTTTCTCGGAACGGTGAGGCTGGACTCATCGAATGAGACGGTAGAGGTTGTTGGTGAGAATGAGCAGTTGGATCATTTTTCAGAGCAGATGTGGAAAGGACGGATCCAACGAGCAACAAGGTGGGTGAAGAGCAAAGCAAACAAACGTTTGGTTCAGAGTGCATAAGCCCTTAGCATGAAGGGTTGTGGTGAGCATGACAATTTCAATTGGAACCAGAAGATCAGAGACATCAGTTCCTTTTTACAACGTGCGTTCTGTTGACGTTGGCTTGTATGAATTGGCTCTATGTGAGATGGCATGATATCCAAAGATGGGTGAGAACAAGAAAGAGAAAGAGACAGATGGGACGAACAGAAGAGGGATTCAACAGTGAAGCGAGACAACCAGAGAAGACAAGACCCCATCTTCCTGCTGTGAGACCAATGTCAGCTACAGGAGCAAGCTCATCGCAAGATCCTGTGCCGGTGATTCCTTCTGACAGTCCAAGAGGACCAAAGTTTCCTCCTCCTCCACCCACTTTACAACCAAGGTGGGCGCCTTGGAGCCCGGAGTGGTTCCTGTACTGGATGGCTGGAAGAGTGACTAGCAGGCTGGAGAGAGAGCAAATGTCAGAAGACAGGCGGCGCAGGTATGAACAAAGGCGTCGAATCTTGGGAGCTACACTTGCAGCCTTAGAGTTGGACCACAGCACAGTTGTGAGACAGAGGGCGCATGAATATTGTTTTAAAATGACAGATCTTTCTCCTCGAGATGATTCCCCAGAGTTCTGTGGAGAAGGAGAAGAAGACTTGCCGGTGGATTCGGCAAGGGAAGCAGGCGATAGGGTTGGTGGCGAAGATCGGGGATATTTTGACCCTGACAACATTAACTATGGCGCAGAGAGAAGAGCAGGAAATGATTCCAGTGAAGAGAACGATGAAGCTTCTGGTGATGAGGAAGAGAGCTTTGAATCGGAAGATACCAGAGTGGCGCGATACCTACATTCGGGACTTGATGAAGTTTCGGACCATGAGATGTGGATGTCACTCCATCATTGGAGCAGTGAGAGCGAAGATGATGGAGGTGAGGCTACAAACAATGCTGCAGCAGCATCGACAACAGCAATTGGGGCAACAGTAGGCACAGAACATGACAATGGCGAACCGGAAGATGAACCAAGAACAAGTGTGGAGTGATTTATTTGCATGATTTGAGAGCACTGTACGTGCACCAGCTGAACCACGTACAGTGACACGACAAACACTGGACACTACGAAGCACTTTTGATAGTGCAGTTGAGAATTCACGAAGACTTTTGTAGGAATGGCGCAAAATGTGCCGGAACGGTCCATACATCATTTGTATGTGAAGTCAGGTGGCCTATCCCTTTAGCCACTTAGTCGAAGTGGTGCCTGACGAGAAAAGCACGACTATAGCGTCGAACTTTTAGGCGGCGTGTCAAGAGTTGTGCGCCTACTAGGTAGTCTAGATGTATAGCTATGTGGTGTACTGTTCACTAGTTGAAAACTACTCCGCTGGAGCGCGTGGGCTCAAAAGGTGCGCTATCAAACAACTTGTCAACGTACCCGTACCCAGAACAGTATGCATATATACATTCAACGGAAAAGTCACCAAGCAATGGTGCCCAGCAACCATGCGCAAACTGACTGCGCTGTGTCAACTAGCTTTGTGTGCTGCTTTGGAAATTTCCGCGACGAAGGGTCCTTGAACAATTTTTTTAATCAATCTCATGGTGTTTCAATTGAACGATCAGCTAAGGCCGTCAAATGTTTTGGTGTGTTGAGCGCAGCTGCTTTTGTTCACAGGTTATTCACCACAAACCTCAGCGCAGATTTCCCCAGAATTCATGCATGCGCCTAAGACGCGTCTCTTTGGTTTCTCTCGTCACTGTAGCTATATATCCATGACGATCAACGGCAATGGTCCTGGCCGTGTGCTTGTCTATTCGCATTCCTGGCTTCCTGGTCAAGTTGATGGAGTTGCTGTACGAATGATGGCACATGTACATGCAATGGCTAAGCGGGGTGTGAAGGTCCTGCTTGTAACACCAGATTTCGTTGTAGATGGACTCCCTTTGCCCAAATTTGATGATATTCCAGGTGTCGAGCATGTCACCTTGCAAACTCAAAGAACACCAGTCTATCGAAAGAACATGTGCATGAAAATGTCCTTCGAAAATTTGAGAAGGCTTTTGAACGTCATGCGGCGGTTTCAGCCTGATTTGGTGCACGGGACACAAGAAGCATCGCTTCAAGTCCTGGTGACAGCATGTGCTTTGTGTGATGTCCCTTTGATTATCTCACTGCATACAGATGTTGCTCAAATTGCTGCTCGCGATCAAGGCTTTTCCTCTTTGGGTGGTGTTGTAGGACGACTGCATTCAGGGGCTGCTGTTTGGTGCACTCACTGGGGATATCGAAATTGGGCATTGGCTGGTGCGAACTACTTCCCTGTTTCCAAGCAGTCTATGGTCATACTTCGGAATGCTGGTGTGCCGGAGCAACGAGTTGCACCAGTTATTTGGGGTCCGATGGTTGACCGCGATCAATTTCGGGTGGATCTTCCAGATGAAAAGATCGCAGAAACTCGCAAACGCTTGAGCTTCGGAATGGATGACTGCTTTCTCATGGTGTATGTTGGACGAGTCACTGCTGAGAAGGACATCCAGTTTCTGATGGATGCTCTTAAGCGGGCTCCTAAGCATGTGATTCTTGCGCTGATTGGGCCTGGGTCCATGGCTGAAGAACTTAAGCAATTTCATGGGCCAGAGCACCGGCTGCATCTTTGAAGCAATGTGTGGAGAATTAGAAGAACGTGCGAAAATGCTCAGTGGGACAACCAGGATAATCAGATAATCATCTATATAGTTTCACAGCGTTGGAGAGAAACACCAAAGTAAAACACTAAAGGGTTTGTCGCGGATGTCGACACCGATGGACGAGCAAAACATGGCATGGAACAAGTAATGGTGGGAGCAACGATGAAGGTGCCCAACCAAAAACTGTTTAGAACACATGAACACTACATTTTTCTGAACGGTGGAGGTATGTTTCCCAATTTGGTACTTAGCTTTGCTAGCAAAGCTCATACTGAGATGAGTTTGCAGCAAGAGACAGCTGAACGGTTGTTGGTTTTTACACTGTCAAGGACTGGGAACAAATGGGACAAATGGGCTTGAGTTTCCAAGCATGCCAGGTATTGCACTGGGGAATTTGCAAGCAGAGATGAAGTGGCTTTATCCTTCCGAGCTGCAGATATTCATGTTTCCGCTAGCAGAATGGAGACAGTTGGCTTCACGGTCTCTTAGTGCTGAAGAGGGTTCATGTCAATGTCAGAGCATTTCATGCTTTTTAGCGATTGGGAATTGGTACACAGTTTTTTTTTTTTTTTTTTAATATAGCCCGTATATAATATCGTTGACAACAACTGTCCTGCTTTGCCCGATGTGCCGGGATTCTGAGGCCATGGAAGCCATTAGCTGTGGTACACCCATGTTAGCAGCAAATGCACAAGGTTATGCCATGTACCTGACACATGGTGTGAATGCTGCTTGGATGGATGAGTTTTCATTATTGAAGCCGCTGGATCCTGCATTGAAGGCAAAGCGGGAAAGCTAAGGCCAGACTTTTTGTACCTGGAAATGCAGAATCCTTTGACTTGGAACTGGCAGAGATTATGAAGATCAAGCGCGAAGGAAACTGGTCCCGGGAGTCTGTGCGTTCAACTATGGATGCTTTGAAGAAGTCTGTTTTGACTTGAGCTGCTTTAGTCAGAGCTTTCAAGCTTTCATCAGCTTTCTATTTCCATTAATTAGAGAATTCTACAGTATCTTGGTGAATCCAAGGAGATGGCCTCCATCGATGCATGCACTGACCGAGCCTTTCAAGCATACTTGACAAGTCCTGCTACTGGATGGCGCTCAATTCGCCTAGTAGTCACATTGTTTCCTCTCTGCAAGCAGCTTCGACATGAGTTCTTTTGCAATCAAGGAATCAAGGAACAGTCAGTGTGGCGAACTGGATTCTTGCCTTTTCTATGTCATATCTATCATTTTTTCCTATCTTTATCCCTTTCCTTCCATTTGTCGCAAGCATCATGCTCTTCCTAATCCTCAAGACACAGTTGGTGCTTAGCTTCAAGAGTACTGGTGACCTTGCTTGACTAACTGCCCAGGAAAAAACAAAAACAAAATGCTTGTTAGCATTGTCAATAGCATGTACTACCCTTGTGCTGGGTGCAATACTGCGGATTCATTGAAGACCCCACTTGGCAAACCAGGTTTTATTTTCTCTTGAACATGTTCTTTGCCACTGTTATGGGATGAGACTTCCACAATGCGGATGTGCCTCGCATGCCTTTCGACCACCACTTGCATACATCTGATTTGGATACCTCATTCGGACAAGGATCGGAACAAGTGGTGGACACGCCCAGACCCTATACACGTCGGTCTCACACCAATCAGATGTTTGGCATCGACTTGACTCGATGTTCTCATTTTGCGCTTGCTGACTCTATTTTGCATTTTCCCAGAATGAGAGGACTGGAAACTAGTCCATGCGAGAGTTTTGCCTTTAGCTTTGCAGATGCAAAATGATGGTTAAGGCTGCCTGGCTGCCTGAAGAATAATCAAATTATCAATGACACTGTGTTGCTGGATGCAGCTGTTTGAGTTCGAGGTCAAAGTAACGTAGAATCCGTTGCCATGTCCTTCTCTCCAATTCTATTATGCGTTGTCTCTCTTCTGGCTGTTGCTTCAGCCATTGTTTGTCCGCCAGAGATGTTGCAGGCTGCACCTATTGGACTGCCTGCAGGTTCAAAGTGTGGGGGAACTTGTCATGTCCACGGCCATTGCGCTGCTGGTCTTTCCTGCCAACAACCACGGACTCCTATTCCTGTCTTAGGCATTCAGGCAGCTGGTGTTTGCGTTGAAAGCCACAGCTTTGATGCGGATAGCGACGACGCAGCAGCAGTCAAACAAACAATCCAGGAGGCGTTGATACTCTTGAATGCACGGTCGAGCCTTTGAGGGATACACAGTGGAAGTTTGAACACTGGATCTCTGCCTTTGTTCTTCAGCTAGTTCTTTCAATAGGGTTCAAGATGCTGTTTGTCCTTAGGAATGATATCTACATGCTTGTGCCTGTGGGATTGCTTGGAATGCAGCGTGAACCTTCGCAGACCGAAGCAGTGCACTTCATCCTGCAAGGGCGACAGCGTTTCGTTCCAGTGAGAGAGAGAGAGAGAAACAAGCAGAAACCCAAGCTCCAGTTTGTATATTCTTGCTAAAGAGCTATTGAGTGTTCAAGAGGTGGGCAGGTCTAATGGAGTCTAGATGTAGCCAGGTCTCAAACCACAATATTCTGAGCACTCAAACACCTGGAGCAGGGTGGAGAGTAGGTTCTTCAGGGATGTTCAGGAGCAAACCTCTGCGGAACCTGCTACAGACAATGGAGGTTTCGACCAGGTTCGCAGGAGGTTCCAAAACGGGCTTGGAATCTCTCTCTCTCTCTATATATAGTGAGATTGAGATATATTACTTTTCTGCCTACTGTTATAGTTATATAAACTGATGCAGGTATTACAGTTTGTTTGCAGACCTCAACTCATGAAATTTCACACCGCTTCCGATTTGTAACTCGAGATTGCACCGCCCTTTAGTCTGATCTACAGTAATGGGGAGGCGTTGCCATGTCATTGGATCTAGGGTGGAATCTCCTACGACCCTGGCAGACTTGCTGGTTCATCCATGATTCTGCGTGGCCAAAGCAGGGCTGCGGAAACAGTGAAGTCCACAGGGTTGTAGCGTGTCGAAAGTGCAGCGAAGTGCCGCGGCCGGTGCCACCTTTTGGCCTCATGAGCCTACCCTGCACTTGGCAAAAGTCAAACGCAACGCCAAAAATAATGCGCAGCATGCATTTTAGTGGGGCGTGTCGGACAGCAAAAGCTGGATGCCGTCAAGAACAACAATGAGCTCAGTTCGCAAGCTCCCACCTAAGATCAAGCTGATCCGACCCAGTGGACTGCACTGTACTCTGCCCATAATCTTCAAAGTGCCACCAGGCTCCCTGGTGTGCACTCGAGTGGCGCACTGCATCATGCCCATGACAGACTCAAGCATCTTCAGCAAGGCGGCGGCGTCGCTCAGCGTCATGTGGTCCTCCAGGCCAATCAGTGCCCTTTCTGGCCTCCACTGCAGCTGCGTAGTACTGAGCACTCTTGTGCTGCTCAACTCAAGGGGCTTCACGAAGGTCACCAATGGCACTCTGATCTGCCCTAGCTCATTGGAGGTGATCGGACGGAAGTCGCCCTTGATGAGGAATGACATGATGGTGGAACAGGGAGCCACAAGCAGCAATGGATGGGGCGAAGCCATATGGCCTGGATTGGTGCGATGGATGTATGCTGCTGGCTGGAGGTAGAACTGATGGGAATTTGTCTCTGCAGCTGCTGCTGCATGTCTGCCGCTGCTGTGTGTATGTCCCTGCCTTTGCCACGGACATGCAGGGCTGGCGAAGTCGGCGGGTTGGAGAGGATCTTGCCACCGATGGTGTTCCGTTCAATTGAACAGTGCACCAAGGCGTCTTTGATGCGAGCGGCCGTTTGGTGCTTGGAGTCGTTGCAATACACCGATGCCGCTCCATGTGCCTCGCCTGGCGCAACCTCGTGAAAGATGCCATGGGCAGAGTTCCCTCTTGAGAATGCGAGTGGGCCAGAGTTCGCCTTCGTGTGTGATATGATGTTGCCCAACACGCGCACGGCCATACCTCCATGTCTTTGTTGCGCGAGCCCATTCCCACAGCGTGTCCTTGCAAGGTGCAGTTGATGATCGCCTTGGTGTTCCAAAGTCAGCGCGTCCTGGACTGCTGGCTTGGTTGTCAGGACCAAAGTATTCATTTTCATCTTTGTCGCGTGGCCGGGCCGCGCCGCGTGGCCCCGTACAGGGGCTGATCGAAGTCAGGGCGGCGACCGGGATGTGCTCGTAGCGCCCCTGTTTTCCAGGACAAGTTTCCAACGCAACGCCTCCGCCACTTGTTGCTGTGTGTAGACCTCCTTGCAGAACACCAGGTGTCGGTCGTGGTGACTGGCAGCACGAAGGGCTTTTTGTGTTGGACAGGAGTGCGTCGAGCGAGGACGAGCGGCTCCGCATTTCCGTTCAAAAGCAAAGTCCGAACCAGTTTTGAGTGAAAACTGCTGAGAGGTCATTGAGCTGAGTGCGCCCATGGTCTTGAGATGATCGTGCTTCTTGAGCAGTTTGGCGGCGCCCATCTCTCCCAGTGGCCAAGCCCCGTTCAGTATGTTGGAAGTCGGCCAAGCTCAGACCATTTTCTTAGATCAGCGGCTGGGCCATGCGCGGCTCGGTGGTCCTGACGCCAAAGTGCCAGGGTCGTAGGTGATGTATATAGTCGTGGGGGAGGGAGTGTCTTCAAAGCCTTAGCAGCCCGAAACTGAAACCTTGTGCTGGAACACCGCTTCATTGTGATTGACGCGGGTGAGAATCGTCTGGTCCCCCAACCTTTGCAGACGCTTAAGCCTTCAAAATTGTCAGGCGAGTTTTTACCAGCGCTTTCAAGACCTCATCGAAGTCCGGGTGTTGCAAGCTCCAACCTTCAAACGGTCACCAGACTACCCTCTTGAAGGATCCAACAATGTTGAGTTTCGTTGGATCTCGTGGAGAGTGTCAGCTTGCGGTGATACCGCTGTATCCTTCGCCGCCGCTCTTTGTAGTCCGCAGGTTGCCCTGACAAGATGGGCGCAAAACTGTTGGGAAGATCTGCGTAGTGACCTTGTCCTTCGCAGAGGCAGGTGCCTGTTGTCTCCTCTGAGGCCAATGCGCGAAAGTCAAAGAGCTCAGTCTTGCCATTCCGCCCCAAAGGTGTGCGGTAACCTAGAGGGTTGTAGGGAAAGTCGTGCGCCGACGCACGACGAGCGAATTGAGTGGAACTGGGAAGTGGCGGACGGCGCCGGCTGCCTTTTGGCCTCGTGTTCGTGGGCGAAAGGTAAGAATAAAAGGACCGGGATAACCCCACATGTTAAGCTTATCAGAACTATCAGTGAGAAGTAGAGACTGATCAGAACTGGACGATAAAAGTGAAGGAGATGAGTGGTGTGTGATGAGTGGTAGTGATGAGAAGTAGAGACTGATCAGAACAGAGGACGGAAAGATACGAGACGATAAAGAAAGCAGTGCGTGATTGAAAGAATGAGTGAGGGAATGAGAGAGACAGAACGCGCGGGTGTAGCATTGCATGTCCATTCAATACGAGCTTCTCCAGAAGACATGCAGCGCGCCATTTCTTTTTGAACAGAGGCAGCGCAAGTGTCAACTGCACTCCGTAAAGTTCAGAGTACCATCCACTCCTCTTGCAGGCTCTGCGTACTGCGCCTGCCGCGAAATCTACGCTCCAGCATCTGCGGCCGCGGCCCAGCGGCGTCCACGCGTCCATCCAGTCCTCCTCCAGGCTCTGCCACGAAATCTGCGCCGCAGGTTCACCAAGTGCTGTGCCTGCGGCGAAATCTGCGCGACAGGCAGCTGCGGCCCAGTGGTGACCGCGCGTCCATCCGCTCCTCTTGCAGGCTCTGTGTACTGCGCCTGCCACGAAATCTGCACTCCAGCGTCCAAGCGCTGTGCCTGCCACGAAATCTGCGGCCCAGCGGCGACCGCGCGTCCGTCCAGTCCTCCTGCAAGCTCTGTGTACTGCGCCTGCCACGAAATCTGCACTCCGGGTTCACTGAGTGCTGTGCCTGCCACGACATCCAGGCGTCCACGGGTCGTGTAAGATCAGTGGTGTCAGATGAGTGGTGTGAGATGAGAGTGGTGTAAGATGAGTGGGTTGAGATGAGTGGAGCAAGATGAGTTGTGTAAGATGAGTGGAGTCACAAGAGTGGTGTAAGATGAGTGGTGTAAGATGAGTGGTGTGAAATGAGTGGTGTCAGATGAGTGGAGTCAGATGAGTGGTGTGTGATGAGTGGTGTAAGTTGAGTGGTGTAAGATGAGTGGTGTAAGACGAGTGGTGTAAGATGATGATGTGAGTGGTGGTGTAAAAAGATGAGTGGTGTAAGATGAGTGGTGTATGATGAGTGGTGTAAGATGAGTGGAGTCAGATGAGTGGAGCAAGATGAGTGGTGTAAGATGAGTGGTGTAAGGTGAGTGGAGTCAGATGAGTGGAGTAAGATGAGTGGTTTCAGATGAGTGGTGAAAGACGAGTGTTGTAAGATGATGATGTGAGTCAGATGAGTGGTGTGAGATGAGTGGTGTAAGATGAGTGGTGTAAGATGAGTGGTGTAAGATGAGTGGTGTGAAATGAGTGGTGTCAGATCAGTGGTGTAAGAGGAGTGGAGTAAGATGAGTGGTGTAAGATGAGTGGAGCAAGATGAGTGGTGTAAGATGAGTGGAGTCAGATGAGTGGAGTAAGAT